TATAATAAAAGGGACAAAAAAAATAGTAGGTAGAAATCTTTGACAATACCTTTGATGATATATAATATTGACCGACCGTATGGTGGCGCCAAGCAAGAGGGGTTTATCAGAACTCTGTACACCATATGAACCCTTAGAGTGTATTATACAGGTGCAAATAATTTGGTCGTAACAGATGACACCTGCGTTTTAAGATTACATTTTTTGGTTAGCGCTAATGGCGAGAAAATAACGCCTACATTTTTGGGGGGTGGCTTATGAATGCAGAGGAAGGGATTTTTTTTTTTTTTGGAAGGAGTTTGCAGTGATCAGCATGATCAATTATTATACTGTGTACAACCGTCAGATGTAATTTTGCTAACCTACCGTCAACAGTGTCTTGTCAACAGTAGTTTTTGCTCAGCAGTTTACATTAATTTTCACTGTTTAATTTTATATATATCGATTTTGTGTTTTTTTTAAAACAAAGTATCGTATTGTAATCTTAATATTATTGTATTACCGCATATAACATATTAACGCATTTAATCTAGTAGCTATAATAGCATATTAACACATACTAACGCACTTAACACATTTTTTAAGCTTTTTAGCCTATTAACATAATATTACATATTTTTAGCATATTATTATTATTTTAGTAAACTTATTAAATTCTTAAACATGTATAAGTGTAGTTTGTGTGAGAAATCATTCTCTACAAGCTCCAATCTTAATAGACATTTAAAAGTCCACCAAGGTATTAGGTTTGCATGCGGAGAATGTGATTATGACTTTAAGTATCAAGGGAATCTATCCAGACACTGCATTGCCAAACACGGTAAGAAAACATTTTTTTTTTTTTGTTTATACTTAAAACAAAAATGTGATTTAATTTAATAAAATATAACATTTATTCAGCTGGTGCGGGGCGAAACGAACGTCCAGGAAATCCTCTTCAACAAAGGGCATCGGTTATTCAGCACACATCACACATGCCTTCAACATCTGGTTTAGGTTAGTAAATTAATTATTTTTTACAAGTATATAGTGATTTTTTTTATAAGAGAAACTTGAAACACATCACCAATATTAAATTAAAATATATTTACTTTAACACCATGAAAAGAAAAAAAATTAGCTTATAAACAAATATAGTCACAATATATCATTGAATAGACCTTTAAATTTAATTTTAAAAAAATTATATCGCCATTCATATATTTTATGGTTATAAGCTATTTTTTCCTTTTAATGATTCAATCCGTTCAACAATCTTTAACATTTAATTTATACTGAAAAAATATTTTTTCCAATACAGGTCGACAGGCAGAACAACAGTTTTGGGGAAGCGCAGACGACGAAACATTTGTCCAAGCCGAAAATAATATGGCGTCAACTTCAAGAGTTGCTACAGGTTAGTGAAAAATATGTATACCGCATTAGTTTTTTTAACGTTAGGTTAGGGTAGGTTACCGTAGTAGGTTTTTTTTATATGTAACATTCACTATAAATTATTTAGTAAAAAATATATATAGTTATGACTTTAATATATTGTTTAGAGTAAATATTATACATTTCACCCTACCGTCCTGGACAATTTTTTTTCAATTTATTAACACTTAGACACATTTTCACGGTTTATATTAAGTAAGGCCATTATTATATTATTAGGTGTAGATAAAAGATCGTTCGAAGAACTGTGTGACAGCGAAGGCGATGAGGCATGCTTGCAGGCTCTTGATAGTATAACGGTCAACAGAGAAAACAACGCAAATAATAAACGGTTGAAAAGTCACCGTTTAGCTGCAGTAACGAGAGAAGGTTTCGTTTTGACCACCACAGGGTTTAGAGGTTTATGTAAAGCCTATTATAAGAAAAATTTTAATCAATTAGCGGACTATGAATCTTTCTTGGCTGAAACCAAACCTCAACTAATCGAACTTCTTACAACACTCGTTGCTGAAAATGCAATCAAATATACGTTGAAACTTGAGTCAACGTACAAAATCCCATCCACCGAGGTTCTTGAAAACCGGGCTTTCAAGACGTGTGCGAGGACATTGCTACCTGAGACCATCATTGAAGACCAAATAACTGATGACTTTAACAAATTATTAGTTGAAGAAGAAGACATGGCTGGCAAAGGATCGGGGTTTTCTCTGGAAAAGATTGATGGCATATTAGTAGATGTGTTTCAATATTCGCCTTTCGGTGGCGCATCGTATATACCACTCCCGGAAGCCATTGAAAATAGGAAAGCAACAGTCAATGTACAAAACACGGATCAGCAATGTTTTCGATACAGTATATTGGCAAAACACGTGACTACAGCTAACCCACACAGAGTAACACACTATGAAGGTATGACAGACCGGTACAACTTTGCCGGAATTAGTTTCCCCACGCCGTTGTCCGAAGTAAAGAAATTTGAGAAGAATAATAAAGAAGTGTCCATCAATGTTTATGGTTTCAAGAAAGGTAATCGTACGTATAAAAACAAGGTGAAGAACAACATTCCTAACCATAACAATGAAAAAAAAGATTACATTATTATTCCATACCGAGTATGCACCATTGAGCAACCGAATCATTTCGATCTGTTATACTTCGATGATGGGAAAGGCAACTTTCATTATTGCTATATCAGAAACCTCACACGACTGGTTGGTCAGCAAATGTCAAAAAATAACAAAGAAAAGGCCATATGCAGACGATGTTTCAAGACTTATGTGGATGAAGCAGGAAAAGCCCCAAAGGAATCCAGACTGGACGAGCATAGAAGAATATGCAACAAAAATGAATCTGTAATGCCAATTCTACCCCCACCAAAAACTTATATGAAATTTGAAAATTATGGTAATACTCAAAAACATGATTTTCTGATTTATGCGGATTTTGAGTGTTTGCTGAAGAAACCAGCTGCAGATAGTCATTTTGGGAAAACTACTGTTACCCAAGACCACGTGCCCATGAGTTATGTGTACTTAGTCAAGCCTAGCGAGGATGTCCCAAAAGAGTTGTTAGATCGATTCAACATACCACAAACTCCGGTTGTTTACAGCGGCAATAAAAACAGCGAATTAAATGATGTGCCAAAACATTTTATTCAAAGTATAACCGATGTAGCACGGAATATCGAGCAGCTTTTAAACGTTAATACCCCTATACGCATGTCGACACAGGACGATAGCAACCATAAGGCTGTCGTGAACGGCGGTCAATGCCCTCTCTGTAATTGCAAATTTTCAATATTAAATCATCCGGTACGCGATCACCACCATTTAAGCGGTAGATACAGAAAAACCGTTTGTAATAGGTGCAATTTAAAAATGCAAAGTCCAAAGTTTGTAAGTTGCATTTTCCACAATTTATCGTCTTATGACTCGCATATAATCGTTACTGAATTAGGCCATGATCCACACACAATTAACGTTATTCCTAATAGCGAGGAAAAATTCATTTCGTTTTCAAAATTTATTTCAAATAAATTTTCAGTCCGATTTTTGGATAGTTATCGCTTTATGGCCAGTAGTCTTGACAAATTAACAAATAACCTTGCCCGTTCTGACAAGTCTAAGTTCCGTTCTGTGTTGAGTGCATATGGGGCGGACGATATAGATTTGGTGACTCGTAAAGGTGTTTACTGCTATGAGTATACAGACTTATGGGAGAAGCTTGAAGAACCCTGTCTACCACCGATAGAGCAGTTCTATAGGTAAAATATAATAACTATATATAAACTAATAATAAATAATTTTTAACCAAATCATTTTTTATAGTTCACTAACCGAAAGTAATATTTCACAAAATGACTATGACCACGCGGTAAAGGTTTTTAACCACTTCAAATTTAAAACTTTAGGGGACTATAGTTTATGGTTAGTAATATATATATTTATTTTAATTCATCATTTTATTGATAAATAATTATTTTTAGGTATAATGAGTTGGATGTGCACATTTTATGTGATGTCTTTGAATCGTTTAGGGAACTTTGTATAACTACATATTCTTTAGATCCCTGTTTTTACTACACATTACCCGGATATTCTTTCGATGTTTGTCTGAAACATACTAAAGTTGAACTGGAGTTGTTGTCTGACTACGATATGCTTCTAATGTTTGAGAATGGTAAAAATATATAAATTTACAGAATAATAATAACTTAATTAATATATAAATATATCGTTTAGGCATAAGAGGAGGACTGACACAAGCATCGAAAAGATACTCCAAAGCCAACCACGCTAAAACACCGCAATACAACCCTGCAGAGCCAAATAGTTGGATTATTTATCTGGATGCAACGAACTTGTAACTACTTATACTATATATATATACTAATAAAACAGTATATTTGTTTAATTTTCATATTATAATTACTTCAGATACGGATGGGCAATGTCTCAGGCTTTACCTTTGGGGAATTTCAAATGGTATGAAGGTGACCATTCGGTCCATACAGTGAAACATTTGTTAAAAAAATGTGACAAGAAGTCGAAAACTGGGTTGATGTTGGAAGTTGATATAGAGTACCCTAGGTCCCTTCACGATAAGCATTCAGATTTACCTTTTATGTGCGAGAGGTTAACACCAGCTGGTTCTCGCATAAAAAAATTAGTCGCCACCTTACAGAATAAACAGCGGTATATTGTACACCATTCAATCTTGAAACAGGCATTAGAGGCTGGGCTTATTCTTAAAAAAGTCCATAGAATTCTAAGCTTTAACCAAAGTTCGTGGTTAGGGAGTTACATCTCGCTTAACACGGAAATGAGGAAAAAAGCCATCAATGATTTTCAAAAGGATTTCTTTAAGCTAATGAACAATGCCGTTTTTGGTTAGTATCTAAACATTTAAAGAAATATAATATATTATATTATAATATCAAATTAATTATTTTTTAAACAGGTAAAACTATGGAGAATGTTCGCAACCGAATGAAAATGTCACTTGTGTGTAGTCCTGAGTCTTGTCAAAGGTTAATTAACAAGCCTACATTTAAAGGTGTCACGCAATATAATGAAAACTTGTATGCGGTACACCTAAATAAGGATGTTTTAACTTTTGATAAACCAGTCTACGTTGGGTTTTCCGTCTTGGAAATTTCCAAGACGTTAATGTATGACTTTCATTACAATGTAATGAAAGAGTACTACGGTTGCGATATTGAACTACTCTATATGGATACAGGTATATTATTATTAACTAATTTTATTTTAAACACAATTATATTTAACATTACTTTTTTCAGATTCTCTAATGTACCTGATTAAGACCAAAGATTTTTATGCCGATGTGTTGTCCAAACCGGGTTTTTTAGAAAAATTGGATACATCCAATTTTCCACCTTCACATTCATGTTATAGGACAGAAAGAAAAAAAGTTCCTGGGACTTTTACAGGTTAGTTAATAAAACATTTAAAAAAAAATAAAAAACTATTAATTTTTTATGTCTTAGATGAGACTGGAGGCGACATTATTTGGGAACAAATTGCACTTCGAGCAAAATCTTATGGTTACATACTAATGGGGGCCGAACACATCAAGGCTAAGGGGGTCGCTTATCACGTGATTAAAAACCACATGACATTTGAGGACCACAAAGACTGTCTATTTCAGGGTATCAATGGAAAAGACCCAAACAGTTTCAACCCTTATCGAACGATGAATTCGTTTCGATCCTATAAACATGACATTAAGAGTATCTCAACCGTTAAGCTGGCTCTAAATAGGAATGACGACAAGCGAGTTGTATTGGCAGACCGCATACATACTCTACCTTATGGTCATTATAAACTTGAGTAAGTTAAAATAACATTAGTTTGTACTTGAAAATATACTAATATAAACAATGTTTTTTACTTACAGTGAGGAGCACGTGGAAGAGATATAAATTTAAGACTTAATATTAAGGTTATTGTACAATTTTTTTTGCTTACTCCCTTTTTTTAAATTTTTTTTTGTAACATATATACACTTCAACTCTCAGACTTGTGCAGGCGTCCCCTCCCACTTTTGATGTAGTTTGTTGTGGATATATGATTAAAAATGTATTTAAATAAAACCCCAACCCTCATTACCATTTATTTTTTTTTTGTTATTTTAAATACCTAATTTTTTTTGCCATGTTCTATATAGTCATACCACACTCTTAGGCTTGTTGTATGATTACATTATTAAAAAACGTAATTAAATATAATCTCCCCCCTAACCTACTATGTAAACATTATATTATTGTATATTTTAGTTGTCTTGAAATATTTTTTTTGCTATATTATATATATATATATATATATATATATATATATAACATAGCAAAAAAAGTATGCATGTGACACACTTAGTTAAGATATTATTATTGTTTTATTTTTATTGTAACTTAAAAATGTAATTAAATATAATCTCACCTCTAACCTACCATGTAAACATTATATTATTGTATATTTTAGATGTCTTGAAATATTTTTTTGTTATGTTATATATATATATATATATGTACACCTCTTTGATTTGTAGAAAAAAATATGCATGTGACACACTTAGTTAAGATATTATTATTTTATACTTTTATTGTAAATAAAATAGACTACTATCTGATAAATAAAAAAAAAATTATTTATTATTGAAATAATATGTTTTAAACTAAATTACAATGATAATATACAAGGTTATGAATTGTTTATAAACCAATTCCTTAATGCAAACATTTTATAAAAAGTACAGTGTGTAGGATTTAAATTCATATGAAATAAACATGAAGGATAGGAATCTTCAGCGTGCAGTTGGTTTATAGGGGGGCACCCGATGTCTTCAAGGTTAATTATATTGATATGAGTTACATATTCATGTAAAATATCTATTTTCTGTAGCCCTTTAACGTAAATAACTGAGAACGTTAAAGAATTTAAAATTCTCGACACTTCTTCTGCTTCGACATCTCCATATTGAGGTGTCATTGAGTGATGATGTTTGGCTAACCATTTATTAACGCTTTGTGATTTATTGTTTGAATTTTGTGTAAAGCTATATTTAAATATCCAATGTTGAGTATTCCATGTGTCTGTTGCAATTACAGATAATTCTTTTATTAAATACTTAGAGTCCGGAGACATAATACACTCCATATCTAAAATAGCAGAGGTCATTATGAAAAAATCAAATAACTGTTTACTTTTTTCAGTAGAAGGGGAGGAAGCGTTCTATTACTATAATATATGTCAAGCTAATTTTTACGGTTTCCCAAAATATTAATAATGTCTATGATCGTTTTATTAGTTGAATACTTAAAAATTTCATTATCCTTAATTAATGATGTTATATTAGTTTCAAGAGATTTAATTTTGTTAAGGTTATCGGATGCTACTTCTTGCGCCTCACCCAGCTGTTTTGTAATACTTGAAGTTAATGTTTCTATATTAGTTACTATATAATTAATTTTGGAAAGGTTATCAGATGCTAATTCATGTGTCTCACGCAATTGTTTTGTTATACTTGAAATTTGAAGGACGTTATTTCTAATGAGTTTGTTATTGCCGTCGTGTGATGAAACTAGAGTGTTTATAAATGTATCAGAAGTCTCTCCAAACACGTTCATAGTGATACTGGCTATAATTGCTTTATATCACCCCTATTTATCCAACTATTTTCTGTTGACGGAAATCCTAACCATTTAACATACAATTTAGATCCTTTTGTTCGCACAATTTTTTCTACTAAGTAATCGTGGGGGTAATTTGTTTTGGACAATTCTTCTGTGTAGAAACAACCCAGTATAGGGTTATTTTTATAATCTTTAAGTAAATAAGTGGGGGGCTCTGTTTTGTTGACTTTAGTAATGCAAAACACCTCCGTCGACCAGTTCTGAAGGTATTTTTTATCAAAGAAACTTTTAAAAATTGATATTCTAACGTTATCACCAATTTTAAATCTGACTTTTTTATAAGGAATCACACGTTCGCGTAATTTAACTAGTGAGGGGTTTGCATTAGCTTGTGCAGGTGTTAATCCTATAGAACTGTGTATAGTATGATTATATTTTTCAGTTATTGATGGTAGAATATCTATCCAATTATGTGAACCTCTAGCCGTGAACTCTCTATACATAAGAGTTTTAAGCGTTCTATTAAATCTTTCGACGATGCTTGCTTTCAATGTTGAAAAAGTTGAGTACCGTTTTACTTTATATTTTTCGATTAATTCATCAAACAACTTTGAGTAAAACTCCCCACCTTTATCCACTTGCAAAAGTTTAGGACACTGAGTATCAAATATTTTAGCCATTGCTAATGTGACCTCTTTACTGGTTTTTGATTTTAATGGTGCTGTGTATGCATATTTTGTATAACAGTCTAATACCGTGAGTAAATATTTATACCCCTTATTAACCCTGGCATGTTGTACCATTTCACACAAATCTGCTTGAAACAAATCATTTTTACCATATAATACAACTCTTCTTCTAACAAAGTTTCTTCTTGCTGGTTTGTGTAGTTCGTTGGCGATTTCCCGTTTAGACATAGGGAATTCGTTTTATTAATTTATACTCGAGTAGTTCTTGCCAAATTAATGTGATTTCATTCGATACACCCGTATTACCTGCTGCTTGTGAAGCTAATAGTAATTTTAGACGTTCACACAATTCGTTTGGATCTTTCCAAAATAAAAGCTCTTTTTTAACGTTTTTTCTTAATGTTAAAGTAAGACCGTCTCCTTTGAGGAATAAGCCTACAATGAGATTATATTTATTCCCACCTTTTCGAATATGCGTTTTGTTTTTGTTTAAGTGAACATTTGATTTTAATAACATATCTTTATAGTTCACCAAATCGGACTCAGTATAGTTGACTGGGTTTTTTGAAAAAATTAACTGAATGATACCCATGGTTAATGGGTATGACGTGTTATCTAAATAAACTACATTTTCTTTAGCCTCGAACACTAACGCACACCCCCCAAGAGTAATTTGCCCAGTTTTTTTATCGTGTTTAGGTCCATAAAGTTTATCCAAATTATTAGACTCTAACAATGTTTTTATGCGCGTGTTAATAAAGTCTTCTAAATCGGCCACATCGTGGCTTTGATCTTGTGTCTGTACGGCAATATCTGTACTCGTTTGTACAGATTCATTTACCGATTTTTCTTTCGATTTATTTTTAGTTAATTTTATACTAAGGGTGGCTCTTAGGAAGAACTTTAACCACGCTTATTACTACGACAGCTTTGGTTTAGAACTACCGCTTGAAGTTCAGAAATATTTAAAAGGTTGTAAAATCGTATACAACTGTGAAAAACAGCAGCAATATAATACATATAATTGCGGACATTTGTGTTTAAAATTTTTATCGCAACCATGACAACACTAACACTAAATAGTAATTCTTCTGAATTAACGTGTGAATTTTTTCCTCCGTTAGAAGTTGTTAATAATTCAGAATTATGTCTTTTAAGTCTTCAGACAAACAACTCTATACCAAACATCAAATCTGGGTGTAACCGTATTGGTGTTATACGTGGAAATGACGGTGATACAGTTACTAATCTACAGTTAATAACCATACCTACAGGTTCTTATGAAATAGTAAGTCTAGAAGCAACTATTAAATCACTTTTATCAGATATAGTCACATATTTTGAATTAAAAGCTAACAATGTTACTTTAAAGTGTGAAATTAAATGCAGTCATAAAATTGATTTTTCTATGGCAGACAGCATTAGAGGATTATTAGATTTTGATACTAGAATAGTATATAAGCCTGATGTAAAACATGTGTCTCAATTTATTGTTAATATAACAAAAGTAAATTGTATAAATGTAGAGTGTAACTTGATAACATCGTCATTCGATAACGGAACTTCAAGTCATATTATCCATCAGTTCTACCCTATAGTGGGTGCAGGTTATAAGATAATAGAAATACCTCAACATCTAATTTACTATCCTCTCATTACTACATATATATCACATTTGCGTGTACTGTTAACTGATCAAGACGGTGACTTGATTGATTTTAGAGGGGAACCAATCACAATTCGACTTCACATTAAACAATCTTTATAAAATGGGTTTGAAGTTTTCTAATATAAATAGAGACACAAACACTAAACGGTCTATTAAACCACACAAACGCAACAAGGCAACGTCAAAACGAAAACACCTTAAGAAATCTAAAAATATTAACAGAAAAAAACTCAGCAAATCTAATTTGAAATTTTTAAGGACCTTAAACGCTCTCTAAAAATGGATGACTTGTACCTCAGTGTTACAGCTGGCTGTGTAGACGAATGTAAAATTATTGAAAAAGAATATCATTCGTTTTTACCATTCTCTACTTCTGCTCTATCAAACAACGACGAAATTCGTATTGCAATTCAAAATTCAGAGAGTTATTCTTTTCCAAGTGAGAGTTATATTTATATTGAAGGTAAATTAGAAAAACCTGCTGGCGCTGCTGGGTCTGTTCGTTTTATAAACAACGGGTTGACATACCTATTCTCTGAAGCACGTTATGAAATTAACGGTGTTGAAATTCAAAAAGTACGCAATCCTGGTGTAACGTTAACTCTTAAAGGCATGTGTTCATATACTCAATCAAACGTATACAGTTTAGCAAATAGTGCATTCGATGGTGTGAAATTTAATAATGAATATTTTGCGAATGGAGACCATTTTTCCGGTATTATACCACTGAGTCATTTATTTGGTTTTTGTGAAGATTATAAAAAAATTATGATGAACTGTTCACAACAATTAATCTTGAATAGAGCATCGATTGATTCGGATGCTTTACACATATTTGAAACAGATG